CTCCGGTAAGGCCTCTGCTTGCTGGCGCTGCTCATGCTCTTTCTGCATTGGTGCGCGCCGTTGCTCTTCAAAGAGCAGTACGGACAGATGCGCTCCGACCGGTCTTCCTCGGGCCAGATTTAGTGGCAAAGCTCGCGAGTGCTCGCGAGCCTCCTCGCACGCTCGCGCAGGGGCGCCTTTTTCGGAGACCTTCTTAAAAACGAGCGTGAGAGCTTTGCGGTTCCTGAGCATTGGACCGTTTCGGGAAACCCTGCCAGCTCAGCTTTCTAAGCACCTGCTGCAGAAAGTAGGGAGAGTCGGGATCTGGCTAGCCGAGGGGCTGCCCATCTGGCCGCAGCAAAGCCTGCCGCTGAATTACGGTGAGCAGGGTTGGGCCAAATCGGTCTAAATCGGATTTTAGGGACCAGAAAGAGGCTGTTTCGGAACTTGATTGAAGGGGCAGTTGATCCAACCCTGACAGCGAGGCGAGTAACGTACATTACGCGGCAACCGCGCTGAAAACGCGCCTGGTGCAGGGCTTGCTGTGTTGTCTTGTGTTAGTATATGTTAGTATCCCTGTGTCTTGGCTGTCTTGTGTGTTGTGTGTGTGTATGCGCGTAACACTCAGGTGCTCTTCGGGAAGAGTCTCCTTTGAGACGCATCAGCAAGCATGCAACAAGCACCCGGTTTCAGTTTGGTGGTACACCTTTGCTACTCCGAAGTTCGATTCTTGTCCGGACAGATGCACTTGCAGTGGTTGTTGCTGGTCACTCAACTCCCGCGTTGGAACCTTCTCTAGGTCCCCCAGTAGTGCCCTTTTACCGTTTCTTTTTTGGGGGAGGGTTCTCCTACTAAAATAAATTACAGAAAAAAGATGGTACCCTTATTCTAACCTCTCTACTGGAGGACCTAGTTCTGCAGGGCTAAAGAAAGGTCGAGACGGGTCGCCCTTGCCAGGGTGGATCGGCAGGAGGCCTGCAGATCCATGCAAGAGATGGGCTTCCAGGCGAAAACCGAGGGGTGGACTTGTTGATTCCGAAGATGGATCCGCTCCAAAAAATGGGTGGGACACAAAACCCCACTCTTCGAAAATGATTCACAGAAACCGCAAACATAATTTTGGACCATGTCTGCCCAAGGAGGGCCCAGTATGGAGCAGGGGGCATGGGTGTCGATTGTTTCCATTCCTCCGAAAAGACCACCGGAGCAAAGCAGGCAGATGTCATCCATGCTTGCAATGGAAGGAGTTGTATCATCAAGTTTCATTGTCGCGTAGGGCTCCTCTCGCGGGAAGTTTGGTTGACTCCTCATAAGGTTGCCTCATGAGTTTCGACACAAAGAGAGGTCTGTCATTTTCATGGATCGAGCGAACGGCGAATGGGAGTGAAACAAGCTGTCCCATGATGCCAACATGTGATTAATAAAATACCGCCCCAACCCTTCTGGCAAGGGAGGCCTGAGACAACTGACTCTTGACTTTCTTCATCCATCAAATGCTAAGTCTCTAGAGCATAGTTGTCCTTTTCAGGTGTGTTTGCTTAGAAGTAGATGGCACTGATTTAGATAGGTTTTACTCCATTCACCAGAGCCATCTATTTTCTAAAAGGCAACCCATCTAGGTCCCCCAGTAGTGCCCTTTTACCTTTTTTTGGGTGAGGGTTCCCCTACCACAATAAACTACAGGAAAAAAGTTTGTCCCCCTCTCTGCTGGAGGACCTAGCCATGCTCTAGAGCGTTTCTCTGGGGACGGTGTCAAGATCCGACTCGCCTTTCTGCCAGTCCTCGCAGATCGCCATCGCCGCGGCCCCTGGATTTTTCGGAGCTGTGCTGAAACAGGAACCACTCGCCCAGATCTTGCCTTGACTGCTACTGGGTTGGATCTTTAGACTTTGACTTTTTGGGAAATCAAGGAGTTGTCCACTAAACCCCCCAAAAGTTAAACTTTTTGTAGGGGGGTCAACAGCAACCAAGTTGCCTGGCCCCAAAAGTAGGGACTTAAGAAGGTGCCTTTCTTTCCTTTAGTTAAGGCCATCCGACACTTCCTTTTTCATCCATCCACGGATCCCCTTGAAAGTGGAGACGAGAGTGACTGCCCAAACAATTACACACATATTATCATGTCCACGAGGTAATTTGGGTTAGCAATACCCCACAACACGGTTCTAGTTCTATTGATTTAGGCCCAACTATTTTTTGGGCAGGTCAAAGACCAACTCAGAGACTCAGAATCTGCCAAAACAATGCAAATCCTTCCGGGCAACCGTAGATATATGCACACACGTACATATGAGTGTCTTTTCGTGCACTATCAACGTGTACATACATTTACTGTGTCATGTGCATCTACGGGTGCATGCCTTAAAAGGTTAGACCAAGAACCTGTCATCGAAGATGTCATGTAGGGAATGCAAAGGGTGGAGCTGCCCTCAAACTAAAACTTTCTGTCTCTTCTCGTTTAAGTTGCACCAAAACTCTGGCCATCCACTGGTCATGGCACGGGGTTCTTGCGGAGCGCTCAGCTCGAGCGCATGCGGCCAACCGCCCGAGGCGTTCTGCTTGGCCTCGGGCGACGGGGAGCTGGCGCCGGGGGGCCTGGTGGGGCAGCCGCAACCTGTGAGTCAGGTCCTCAAAACCTGAGAGTTAGGGGACGGCACCAACCAAAGATTCGGCAAAAACAAGGTATTGAGAAGCTTGGAGCCACTGTCTCCTACTTTCGGAACTCTCGAAACTGGACACCACGGCATGTGTGTGTGTGGGTTTGTTTGTTTTGTTTTGTTTTGTTTTGTTTTTTTGTTTGTTTGTTTGTTTGTTTGTTTGTTTGTTTGTTCTGTTTTGTTTTGTTTTGTGTTGTTTTGCAGTGCTTTGTTTTGTTTTTGTTTGTTTGTTTGTTTGTTGTTTTTGGAACGTACCGTTAAGGGTCTTGCTTAATGAACACCAGCTACCCAGTAACTGGGGGGTCTAACGATTTTTATAGCCAAACCAGGGGAGGGCTAGGAGTTGGAAGCTTGACTAATACTGAGAAGCCCAAACAGCCAGGTCGATTCGGGTACAGCAGAGTAGGGGCTCGAGCACCACATGTGTTTGCGTCCCAAAAACAACAAAAGCGAAATCACGTTTTTCTTGTTTTGGTTTCCTTTTGCAATTTGAAACAACAAAGAAAAGCGAGTGATTAAGTGAACAGAAGGCACTGTTTCTGGCGTCCGTTTCCTACTTGCCCCAGATTCCCTAAGGTCACTGTGTGTTGCCTGCAAAATTCTTGTCAGAGGGTGTGAGGGGTGATGTATGAAAACAGCCTGAGGTTTGGGCTAGTGAAATTCAGTTCATGTCTAAGGCCTTTGACAGAGAAGGAGCAAAGAGGACGGTACCAAGGCACATTGTGGAGCTAGAGGTTGCCAGGCAATCAGGTCTGAGATCAGAACTTTCAGCGGGAGGTCTTCCGGATTCAGCTCGTCTTAGAAATCCATGCTGCGTTTTGGCCTTTGACTGCAAAGGGAAAGTAGCTGCAACTAGCACTCCAACCATCTGGAACCAGCACTCTGGGGCAAGAGATCCTTGAGACAAGATCTGACTGACGCAGCCTTGAGATTGAAGCAGCTCGGATGGGGGTTTGGCATAAAAGGATGCCCTTTTGTTCGGTGATTGAGAAGGCGTCCAAAAGGGGACCTTCACTTTGACAACACCCCAGACCCACTCCGCCCGCCATTATACGCTCGCAGCTTTGGGCCAAATAGATGGGTGCTTCGCTCGACCGCCTGCTCTGAGCAGCGGCTTTCGCGACACGCGCGTGCCTGTCTGGGCAAAGGCAATGACAGTAAATGACAGTAAATGACAGTAAGATAGCAAAATAAACAGGCCTGCTTGATGGTGTTTCCTTCGTGCATAGCTGCGTGATAGTATTACAGTATCGAGACTACACGATGTTGTAGTCCATCTTCAACTCTTTTTCTTCGGAGGGCTCTTCTTCATGGGGGTGCTTCTCTTCTTGTCCTTTGCACGCTGCTGGCCTGACCTTGCACTGTGGGGTCTCCATCTTTTTGCGCTCGGGGCCCTGCGCCTTCTCTCTCGCAGTTTCTATTGTTTGCTGCTTTCGATTTTGGGGAAGGAGTCGTGGATTTTGCCCTTGGGGATGTCCGCTTGCATTGAGGCCTTGGAATGGCGCGGCGCTTCAAGATATCTGATGGGACTCCAAAGTACCCTGAGGCTGTGGCTGTCAGAAGCTTTCGGTGGAAGAGGAGGACCAAAAAAACCCGGCACAAAAGGCGCAGCGCATCAACTATGCTTGCCAACCGTGCTTCTCGGGAGTCAAAGCATGGCGGAAGGCTTGACCACCTCATGAGCCTGGCAAGCAAGCATTAGGCACAGCACTTGAAGGGACATTGTTTAGAAGAAATCAATCGAATCTTGACCCAAGGGGATTCGAACATTTGGTTGGAAACTGTAGCAGTGTGACCTGGTCATTGCTGACTGCTTGCAGCTTGCAAAGCCTTTGAAATCTGGTCTTCGCCGTTGAAGCAGGTAGGCAGGCCCTTGGCTGACCCAAAGCACTGAACGTTGCTGTTAACCACCTTCAGGCTGAAGCATTCAAGGTGCACAATGGCTTCCTGTGTTGCAGGCCGGCTCCTGCAGCGAAGGCGGGAGCAGAAAACAACTGCGCTCAACAACAAAAGCTGCTCAGCCGCCTCTGTGTACGTCCAATCTTGCAGCTGGTACACGCTAGAGGTCAACCCAGCCAAAATACTGGGCCTGCTCTTTTGTTTGCAAGGGCAGGGATGGACAGTCGCTGTACTAAAGGTTGATGAGTCAGGCTCATCAACATCGTCAGCATCAACCGTTGTGTCAGCTGGTGTGGCTGCAGCAAGGAATGATATTCAACTGGCAGCATCAAGCCCCACGCTTTTCGGAATGAGGTTTGGAATTTGGCAATGGCAGTGCCCAGCGCCCATTCCCGCAACCCTCTGGCCACTCATCAGGCTCGGTTGGGTGCTCCCAGCTTTGCGGCACGCAGCAGGTGCCACGTCATTGAGAGCATCTTTGCCCAAGAGCTTTTCCCTGGCATAGAAGGCTCTTAACGCTGTTCCCCTTGTGTCCAGTGTGCCTTTGCAGCTTTCTCCTTACTGGAGCCAGATTAGACATTCCATCATGGATTTGCAGCATCGGATCAGAGAGGCAAGGCTGTTCGCAAACCATAGCGATGATTGAGTCCTGTAGCTGCTCAAGATGATCCAGCACAGAATCCAAAAGCAAGATGCGGAAAACTTTCTGATGTTGTTCCAGGCGTTGGTACACGGTTCTGATTCTGTCCCAGGGGTTTGGTACACGGTTCTGATCTTTCTTCCAGGGATCAAGTACACGGTTTCATTTTGTCCCAGGAGTTGAGTACACGGTCCTGGTTGAGAACATCCAACTGGTTGAAGGGACAAGACGTATCTCAAAGGCTAGTCAGGACTCAAATACACGGTTCTGGTTGCAGGGCTCAAGTTTCCAGGGATTGAGCGCCGTGGTTTTTGAAAACCCATGTATCTTTTCCCTGGGTGGGCCCCTTGTAAACCCAGCAAATGCAAAAGGGTGGTAAAAATCAGGCTGGCAGAGTTCAATTTCTAAATACACCGGTTTTTAAAAACCAGTGTATTGTGGAATACTTGAGACCCAGGGGTGGCGTACGTTGCTGTCTTCTCAAGAATGGTCTGGGAATCCCTTGGCCTTTTGTAAAAGCCTTGGCAGTACACCGGAATTTTAAAACCGGTGTACAAATCAGCCCTGGGATTTGGGAGCCTGAAATACACGGTTTTCTCTTGAGGAAAGTAATGAGTAACTAAAAAGAAGCCTGTCATTTAGTCAATCTAAAGAAGACTCCTGAGGATGGCCCTGGCCAAGTGGCCCGGAGTTCCACATAGATGTGATTCTTAGGGCGGCCTTTTTGGCCTTATGAACTTTGTAAGGGTAAACCAAGCATCTTGAAACTCTTGCCCATCCAGTTTTCAACATGCCTGAAGCGAGCAGTAACCGCAATCAGCATGTCTTTGATTCTTGAGGTTGGTGGTGGGTCTGTGCTGGATCCTCTCAGGCAGCTACAGGACTGAATCATCGCTATGGTGCGCGAGCAGCCTGATTCGACACTGCAAATCCATCATGGAATGTTTTTGTGGCTCCAATAAGGGTGTAAGTGGCCTAGATTTACGGAAAGCTGCAATGGCACACTGGACACATCCCCAGTGTGAGGCAAACAGCGTTAAGAGCCTTCTATGCCAGGGAAAAGCTCTTGGGCAAGTGGTGCTAGATTCGACGCACGCTCGGCTGCAAGATGCTCTCAATGACGTGGCACCTGCTGCGTGCCGCAAAGCTGGGAGCACCCAACCGAGCCTGATGAGTGCCCAGAGGGTTGCGGGAATGGGCGCTGGGCACTGCCATTGCCAAATTCCAAACCTCATTCCGAAAAGCGTGGGGCTTGATGCTGCCAGTTGAATATCATTCCTTGCTGCAGCCACACCAGCTGACACAACGGTTGATGCTGACGATGTTGATGAGCCTGACTCATCAACCTTTAGTACAGCGACTGTCCATCCCTGCCCTTGCAAACAAAAGAGCAGGCCCAGTATTTTGGCTGGGTTGACCTCTAGCGTGTACCAGCTGCAAGATTGGACGTACACAGAGGCGGCTGAGCAGCTTTTGTTGTTGAGCGCAGTTGTTTTCTGCTCCCGCCTTCGCTGCAGGAGCCGGCCTGCAACACAGGAAGCCATTGTGCACCTTGAATGCTTCAGCCTGAAGGTGGTTAACAGCAACGTTCAGTGCTTTGGGTCAGCCAAGGGCCTGCCTACCTGCTTCAACGGCGAAGACCAGATTTCAAAGGCTTTGCAAGCTGCAAGCAGTCAGCAATGACCAGGTCACACTGCTACAGTTTCCAACCAAATGTTCGAATCCCCTTGGGTCAAGATTCGATTGATTTCTTTTAAACAATGTCCCTTCAAGTGCTGTGCCTAATGCTTGCTTGCCAGGCTCATGAGGTGGTCAAGCCTTCCGCCATGCTTTGACTCCCGAGAAGCACGGTTGGCAAGCATAGTTGATGCGCTGCGCCTTTTGTGCCGGGTTTTTTTGGTCCTCCTCTTCCACCGAAAGCTTCTGACAGCCACAGCCTCAGGGTACTTTGGAGTCCCATCAGATATCTTGAAGCGCCGCGCCATTCCAAGGCCTCAATGCAAGCGGACATCCCCAAGGGCAAAATCCACGACTCCTTCCCCAAAATCGAAAGCAGCAAACAATAGAAACTGCGAGAGAGAAGGCGCAGGGCCCCGAGCGCAAAAAGATGGAGACCCCACAGTGCAAGGTCAGGCCAGCAGCGTGCAAAGGACAAGAAGAGAAGCACCCCCATGAAGAAGAGCCTCCCGAAGAAAAAGGAGTTGAAGATGGACTACAACATCGTGTAGTCTCGATACTGTAATACTATCACGCAGCTATGCACGAAGGAAAAACCATCAAGCAGGCCTGTTTATTTTATCTCACTACTGTCATTTACTGTCATTGCCTTTGCCCAGACAGGCATGCGCGTGTCGCGAAAGCCGCTGCTCAGAGCAGGCGGTCGAGCGAAGCACCCATCTATTTGGCCCAAAGCTGCGCGTATAATGGCGGGCGGAGTGGGTCTGGGGTGTTGTCAAAGTGAAGGTCCCCTTTTGGACGCCTCTCAATCACCGAACAAAAGGGCACCCTTTTATGCCAAACCCCCATCCGAGCTGCTTCAATTTCAAGCTTGCGTCAGTCACATCTTGTCTCAAAGATCTCTTGCCCCAGAGTGCTGGTTCCAAATGGCTGGAGTGCTAGTTGCAGCTACTTTCCCTTTGCAATGATGGTACAAACAGATATACATCTTTTGTTTGGGGTGGAACAATCATCCAAGATCCTGAAGACTGGCAAAAATGCGAGGAGTGTGTTTGGAGCGGCAAATGCGCCACAAACATAACCCGGGTAGATGAAGGTTAGTAAGGGGCAGTCCCAGCCAGAAATAGTTGCAGCCCCCTTCTGAATTCTTGAAGAATTCTGGGATTTCGACCATTTTAATACTGGGTCTTGATTGTGACTCACCTGCTGGCTGGGAGCCACCAAGTTGGGTATGAGTCGAACGTTAGCTGGACACCCTTTGGCGGAAAAAGGCGGGAACAAAAGCCTCACATAGGTCGCAGTTCCTGGCAGTCATGGATCCCTTGGAGGACAGCAAGGCCTGGCATACTAGGTTGGGCGACCCCTGGGTGCAGAAAGGAGGTTAGTATGTTCATGGCTGTTGTTGGGAAGCATTTTACCTTTTTGCTTCTTGTGGTTTAGTGGTTGAAATCCCACCACTCAGCTGCCAAAAAAAAAATGTTCCCCATCCATCGTTTCTGTTCCCGTTCTTGTGTTTCATGCTTTGCCTTGTTTGTTTTGTTGGAGGGCACATGAAAGCACACAGGGTCTAGTATGTTTTTTGCTCCCCTTGGATTCAGTGTGACTCCAGGCACCTTCGGGGAATGGGGTGACTTAGAGGCTGCGGCAGTTCTGGCAGATGAGAAGCAGGGGTCAGAGCTGCCTTTTTGAGTCTCCTCTTGGCTCAAGCCCTCGAAGAAAAAACGCGAAAGCACCGAAACCGCCCGAGCTCGACTGAAACCGCCATGGAGAGACCTCACGTTGTCTTCATGAACGTACCGGCCACGGGTCACATGAACCCCACCCTGGCGCTGGTGCGCGAGCTCAGGGACAAGGAGGTGCCGGTGACCTACTTTGTGCACGAGACGATGCGCGAGGTTGTGGAGGCCAACGGCGCCCAGTGGCGGGCCATGCAGGATCCGACGGAACTCACCGACGAGCAGCTGGCCCGGTACGTGCCGGAGGCGCAGCCGGAGGGCAAGGAGTTCCCCTGCAGCCTGATGGTCCATGCCGCATCCAGCCTCCCGGCCATCCTGGAGGCCCTGAAGGGGCTACAGCCACCGCCCAGCGTCCTTGCCCCTCGCCTACGTGGCGGCGCGGTATCTGCAGGTGCCCTCAGTGGCCACGGTGACCATCACGGGCCCGGGGGTGCTGGAGATGCCTCTGGTGGTGCGGCAGAGCTGGGAGGCGAACCTCGCGGTCCAGCGGGCCAGCGAGGAGATCAAGGCGAAGTACGGGATCGACGTCTTTGAGCATGCCGCCATGATGGAATTCTACTCCCCTGCAGGACCTGAACATCGTCACCACCGTGGACTCCTTGTTCTCCCCCCCGAAGCTCGAGATGCAGCTGCAGCGCTTCGGGCAGGTGCCCTTCCGCTGCGTGGGGCCCTTGGTGAACCAGAAGGGCCCGCGCATCAGCAACGTGGAGATCAAGGAGCAGCCAGCACTGCCCTGGGACCAGATCGACACCTCCAAGCCCCTGGTGTTCTTGTCCTTGGGCACCGTGGCCAACAGCCACTTCTGGACCAACAAGTTCGGGCACCAGGCGAGCTCCAACGGGGTGCAGGACCTCACCGGCAAGGAGTTCATCCAGCTGGTCTTCCGCACCGCCTTCGAGGCCTTCGAAGATGAGGAGGTCTTTGTGGTCATGGCGCTGGGCCCGAAGGAGGACGCGCTCGAGGGCCTGGAGAAGCAGCCGCCGCAGAACTTCCTGCTGCAGAAGTCGGTGCCGCAGCTGGAGGTCTTGGCCAAGTGCCAGGCCTTCGTAACTCACGGGGGTGCCAACTCCATGCACGAGGCCCTGGGCTTTGGCGTGCCCATGGCCGTGGTGCCCATCTTTGGGGATCAGCCCTCCAACGCGGAGGCGGTGGCCAAAGCCGGGTGCGGCGTCTCCTTCAAAGAGCCTCTGAAGACTCTCAGCCCCCAGTCGCTGCGTGCGGCGGTGCGGCAGCTGATCGCCCCAGACAGCGCCTTCCTCGCGAGCTGCGCCAAGCTCCGGAAGCAGATGGCGCAGGCGGGGGGCGCGGGCAAGGCGGCTGAGCTGGTGCTGGCGGCGGGGTGCGCGCCGAGCTCCAAGCTGGGCGGCGCCTGAGCTGGCGAAGTGATTTGGCAGGGTCTGGGTTGCTTGGTGACTTTTCCTGGAGCCAAGAGTTGCACAAAGCGGCCTTGCTGCTGGGCGAGCCGTGTTTTTTTTCTTATTGCACTTGTACAGCGTGCGATGCCTTGCACAGAGGCCGGCAGGTTCCCTGGATTGTGCAGCCGAACATGCGGCGCGCATGCAGACGTGAGCGCGGGCCAGTAAGCAGCCAGGGCTGCTTCTGAATTCGACACACTTCGATTGCGGGCCTTCAGCTACAGAGCTGAGCCTAAGCATCAGCAACCGAATCATTTCTCGCTGGTCACGCAAGCTGACTTGTAAAGAGCTCAGGGAATGGTTCCGAAAATGGCGCTGCTTTCTGCCTCGGCAACATGCAAAGCGCCTTCCAAAAACTGTCAAGTGGTGGGTGCCCTTGGTGCAAGTGAAGATTTGGGGGATCCTCAAACGGAATTTTCTTTTTCACCTTTTAGCCTCCATGCCATGGAACTTTTTCCATGGCAAATGAGCGGCCGATGGCCAGGTTCCCATTTAAGAAGGAGCAAGCGAGTGATTGGTCGCCAAGCGCAAGCCAGTTCCACAAAGAGTCGCCCTGGCTCCCTTCTTGTTGGTTGTCTCCTTCAAACTTCAAAGAGAACCCCACTACACTCCCTCAGACTAACATGGAAGCTCCCAAAAAACTCTTTGGAAGACTTGGTTCCATTTACAGAGGCCTTCTGGGAGCTTCCATGTTGGCCTGAGGGAGTACAAGTTTCTTTGAAAGAGACGGGGCGGATGGGCCTTTCAGTGCGATCTTGTCGCTTTCAGCCGCGAGGCCGAGGAGGATCCGCGGGCTTGGGCAAAAGCCCTGCAGGCGGGAGCAATTGGTGCCCCTTGGTTGGAAGCTTTCGAAGGGGCGCCAAAAGGAAGCCGAAAGAAGCCATTTGTGGCATTGGAGGAAGCACCGGGTTAGGCAGTTCGATCGGAATGGGGATCCCCTGCCCGAAAATCACGCATTGGTGGATGAGAATCCCCTTGCGGGTGCTTGCGACAAGCGGCTTCACATGAGCGTTTGTGGAGGGTTTGTTGGGTGTGGGATTGAACAGAGTTATCAGAAAGACTTGGGATGAATCCACCAAGAGCCACACATTGCCGGGCGGTCATTTCTTGTGGTCTTTTGGGTTTGGAGCAGGCCTAGTACTGTGGCGCAAAGCATTTTGCTGATTTGGTGGTAAGCACCTCCTTGCCCCTCAGCACCTTGTGCTCCCTTTTTTGTTTGTGTTGTTTCCACATGAATCTCACCATTTGTTGATGTCTCCTGGAAACTGAGAAGCCAAAAGGGAGCAATCTTTTGTTGACGGGGTTTACCTTTCAGAATGTTCGTCCCAAAGACGAAAAAGACACAGTCGAGGGTGTCCTAAAGTTATCTTGGGATAAATGCTTTAGGCGCCTGAAGGTGTAGTTTCCTTCGAGATACGCCAACATATTTCCAGCTGGGATTTTGAGTTGTTGTTTTCTTGCAAGGCTTTGATTTGGGGATCTCCCAACAAATTGCCTCCAGGGGCATTTCTCGCGTTTCTCGCTCCTTTTTTCGCCAGGCGCAGATCTTCGGATTGGATCAAAGCCACCAAGATGATGTGGTGCAGGCGGGAGGTTCAGAGGACCAATTTCCGACTAGAAACAATCAAGCAAATGGAGCTTGAGCATCGGCAGGCGTATCTAGCATTGTTGCCCTTGCCCTTTCTGTTTCCCCTATGTTCCCTTGTAACTTGGCCAAGCCTGGTTGCCCAAATTACATTGGCTGCGTGCAAGCCAACTTTTAAGTTGGGCAACATATTTTCGTCAGAGCCAAGGCCGTGTGAGGATCATAGATGCGGGGCGCGGTGCTTTGCGTGGGATTTGTTTCATTGTGTCAGCGATGGCGAAAGGATCGTGGCCCACTGGTGTTTTGATTGGCTCGGAGCATATGAGTGTTGGTCAAAAGATGCTCACCGTGCTCTGTTGGCCGTGGGGCAATCGCGTCTGAAAATGCTTGATTTGAGTTCGCTCCCTAGTGGATGATGTAGCTTTTTGTGCTGGGAGACCACTTTTATGACGCTCAACTTCCTTGATCATCGAAGCCACAGAGGCGTGCTGTCGGGCCCACACCAAATCAGAATGCCAGGCTAGCGCCAGGGATCAAGGCCCATCCATGGCTCAAGGGCCGACGGTGGCCGAGCAAATGCTGCGCTCGCCCTGACACTCGCCAGGGCCTCCTGAAGCTTGCGACGCTTCTGGACTGCCCGCAGGATACCGTTGGGGAGTCGGGGCGTCGCTGGGAGAAATGCGCCTCGGTATGGTTCTCGCTTCGTGTTTTTGGTAAAGGCTTGAGATGGATACCACATTCGTAGCCAGGAATTCATACCAACAAGAACAAGTGCAGCTTCCGAAGATACATGGCCTTGATTCTTGTGTTGGCAAAATGCTATTGGCTTCCTGGCTCAAGCCGCGTTCCCCCTTCGAGCATAGCGACCTATATATATACATATATATAGATATCCTGCATCCCCTGTGATGTGTGTCTTGTCAATATGGATTGTGGAAATTCAGATTGCCAACCTAAGCTCCATGCATGCCCGCTTCCAGCACAGGATCATTCCCGACGGTGTCCCGTTTGAAGCTGTCCACCAGAAGCACTTCGCGTGTTTTTTCCTCGCATGACCTCACGTTGTTGTGGCTTCCGACCACCGTTTTTTCGCGAGCCCGGCCCCAGCCCGGCCCCGATTTTCCCTCGGGCGCCCGCGACCGAAACGCTTGCGGCACTGGCGACCGATGCGGCTGCTGCCGGTGCAAGCCTCGGCTTTCTAGCGGATGGGGTGGGTGGTCAAGCTGGCTCCAAGAACTCGCGGCACCCAGAGCGGTCCCAAGTTGCGATGCAAAATCGAACAAGGACACGTTTTTAACTGTGTAGGATGGTGTTTTGTTCTTTTCACGAACTTGTCTGGTGGATTGTCTGCACGCTGAATGCTCAGTTGCGAATCCGCACGGAATCCCCAAATGAGCGGCCGACACCCTCATTGGTCATTTTGGTAAGCGGTAGCACCGGTTGCACAGCAACACCCAAAGTCAATGGGTTTTGCGCGCTGCTCATTAGGTGTATATAGGGAATCCAGGGTATGCATGTGTCAACTCTCAAGCTTCTTCAGTTCTCGAAGTATTGGTGGTCTGACAGGCACCGGACTTGTGTTTTTAAGACAATGAACACTCGTACATTCACAGGTTTGCTCCAAGCCTCCAAAAGATGGTCAAGGTCTCACAAGGGTGGGCATTTCTTGAGATTCATGTCCCTTTCCCTAAGGAAGGCAATCTCTTTCTTGTGCTATGCCCGTATTTGAATTTTGTTCACCTTGTGAGCGGCAACTTGATCCCCTGCAAGGCTGTGCGGCTCAAGCAGCGTATGGCACATTTTTCTGAGCAGAAAAGCACATTTGGTTTGTTGTTCTTTTATTTTTTAGCATTCTCAATAGTCTCAGAGCAAGAGTCTTTCTTTTTTTGGCACATGGATTCTGACCAAGTACTATCCCTTCCACTTAGCGGCACCACAAAGAAGCTGCTTGCCATCAATCTCTATAGTTTGATTTAGAAGCATACCTTTGCCCCTTTTGGTTTTAGGACATGGTCGTGACTGATAGGCACACATTTCCGGGTTTCAAGTTCCCGATCGATCCGGAGCGCGGATTCGCCATGTGGGAAGTCACGGGTGGCTCGGACAAGGGCGGGATCCTGGTGCGGGAGGGCCAAGCGCTGTCCTCCAAGGCGGGTGCCGAGGAATTTTGTTCCACCAACCTGGTGGAACATGGGCGGTTCAAGTTCTTAAGTCGGCATTTTCTGGTGCAGGTCATATCCATGAGTGTGTATATACATACATACCTAGAAACTCCGCCGGGCCATAATTTTTGCCTTTTGTAAGTGGGACGCCTCTTTCCGCCGGAGCAGTCAAAAAACGCCGGCGATTCTCAAAAACGCCGGCGGTTCCACAAAAACGCCGGAGGGGCGCCAAAAGGGAAAGAGTCAGAACAGGGTTTGACATAATAATAAAGTGCAACGCAGCTGAGACTGAGTGACTTGCCTCGAGCCCGCTCCTCCTCTAGGCTCAAAGCCATGCTTGGGACACACACACACACACAAGCGCACATGCATACACACACCTAAGCGCACGCACGCTCACACGCACTAAAAGCAACACCCCACAAACACCACACACAACCACAACACAACACACCGCAACATACCACACCATGACAACACCCCGCAACCCAACACAACAGAACACACAACCACACAACACAACGCAACACAACTGAACAGGACACAACACAAAGCAACACAATACAACGCAACCCAACACGACGACACAAACACGCTTCCCACGAGACCCGCCCACTTAAAGCAGCGAGCCAGTCGTCGATTTTGGAGCTTTGGCTGCGGGCTCAGTCATGTCCGCCGATGCCTCTTCAGGTTTTCCTCGTTTCGTCGCAAAACGGCTCGCTTTTTCAAGAAGTGTCGGGCAAGAACTTGACGGGAAATGGTTCGCGAGTCCAACAACCTGGCCAAACGGCTTACCCGCCCCACCTTGTCCTCATTAGGCTCGCAAGCCCATGATAAAGGTGAAAGGATTAAGGGGGCTTGGGTTTTCAAGTCAGAGCGCAAGCTGTAGGCGATGTGGTGGAACGCGTGGAATTTGGGCTTGAGGCCAAACCCTGCCATCCGAAGGTTGTACATAGTGTGAGTTGTCAATGTCCGATATCCCTTCAAAAGAAGCATGATGCGTGTGTAGAGCAATTTGGTGCATTCACGACTAAGCCACAATCCGTGCGAGTGGAGCAGCTCGAAAATCTGAATTCCCTGCTCCACCGTCGTTTTCAGAACTCGAAGGAAATCTAGGTGACGCCGCGATGCGTCCACGGGGCTCGACAAATGCAGCCCAGCCTGCCACCGAACAAATCGCAGTAGCAGCATCGTGTCTGAACCCTTTGAGTTTGCCCAAGGATTGCTCGCTTTGGTCTTGGCACTGAAAAGGAAGATGGTAAAAGATCTCAAGCTTGGAGTTACCCGTTCAGCGCAGCACCAAAGTGTGAACATTTGGTGCGCCCGACCGAGCCTGTCTTTGATGCCCGTCGACCTGATTCCATCGACATCGTAAAGACCAAGACGCGCCAGCACCACAATAGCTGACCCAGCCAGATCTCGCCCGAGGCCGACCTTGAACACGTGAAACACGTCCAGCTTGAACACATCTTCGGGCTTGCGCCCATCATCGTACGGCACAGAAGCCAGTACAGGCTCCGTTTCCCAAGGCCGCGTAGAAAAAAGACTATCTGCCCAGCCCGGTTCGTGGGCAACATCCTCAAATGGGAACATGGCCGTTCCAGCATGGCAAAGCGAGCACATGAGCTCATTGGCACCTAAAGTGTGGTACGAGCGCTCCAAGTTCCCAGACTCCATCTGATGCTTCATGTCGCCCTTGGAGCCGACGATAGCGCCGAAAATTTGGCGGTTCCCAACCTGAACGCCAGTATGAAATAAGCGTATAAGGTCTTCAGCTATGTGCTCCAAGTGCTTTTGAACCACATCCGACTGGTTGCTGTGATAGGCCCACTCCGGGATGCCAAACAAGAGGTGCCTGGTACAGTAGGTGTGACCTTTATAATTCGGCATTTGCCGCTTGGCGCGGTCCAAGTACTCAGGACTGACCTGCGTGACTTGATGCCACGAATGCAAATCCACTGCGGGCATCGACTGAAGCTGCTCCACGCATTTGCAGGTTGCATCTTCTGGCAAGTCTCGCACACCAAGAAGACTCTCTACCGTCCACAGCAGAAACCGAGCACGCCGCGGGCCTCTGCCCTCATCGCCATGCAGGGCCAAAGGTAGAGTTCTATCCAGGTCCTCGATTGGTTTCTGGTGCACTGGGTGCGTTGGGTGATGAAGCTTGTGCAAGGCCCAAAATGCATGTAATTGCAAAGCCATGTCGTTGTCGTCACACTCCCCAATTAAGCAGTGTGGGAACCTCTGCATCAAAAGTTGCACCCAATCGCTTGGGCGAATCCAGTGCGTGACATGCCTCTCCCCCTCAGGCAAATCGTGAGTGAGCTGTCTTATTGGCACGGGCAAGCTCAAACCCAAGCGGGTAAAACATCGGCGCATGTCCCTGTCCGCATTCTGGCCCCCCTTAGCACGGCGTGTTTGCTCATCACTGCCGCTGAGGTCTTGCCCTCGTGCGGCTAGCATCGCCCGCTTTGTGTCAGCCGCAGTGGCCTCAGGTGGGAAACGCCTTTTGAAGGTCACAAAGACAAGCCCCTCAAGCGCCAACAAAAATTATAAGAACGTCATTTACAGTTGAGCTTTAGGGCAACTGGAACTGTTGGGCCGGACCCCCCCCTGTTGAGGTGGCAGGGTCAGCCCCGGATGGCACCTCAAGCTTTGGAACTCAACAAAGAGCGGAAAAGTTGTTTAAAACCAGCGTTTCTGTCCTTTCACCCCCAATACTACACGATTTTGCAAAACATTACAGTAGAGAAGCCAGTCTTTTTCCTGGTTGGGAAAGCAGCCTTTGAGAAAACAATAGCCCAAGTTTCGGTAGCAGCTGCAACAGCCTGAGGTTTGCCAGGGTTTGTGGAGCCCCCCAAGAAGCCGTTTGGGGTTCCTTGGACTGGGTGGCCTGTTTCTTTATTGGCCCTAATGCGTCGGACACTTCTGCGGTTAAAAGCAAAGGGGCTGCCTAAACCAAGTCAACAGGGTTGTTTGAGAAAGCTAAACCATGCGTTTGTTTGACCCACCATGGGCATCACATTTTGCAATAGAGGGTTTTGCAGGGTAGACCTGTAGTCCTTGTTCCCTTTTCCGTGGGACGAACTGTCAAAGTTCCCTACCTTAACAAAGTGGCTTGCTGTCGAACTCAGGACTGCTCAGCAGCAAGGCCCAACAAACTGAAACTGGACCTGCCTTTGAAGAAGCAATGTTTGAGTTTAACACTTTCAAAAGGAATGGATGGATGGCCAGGCTTCCTTGCCAGCGAGCAGTCCCAAGTTCAAGAAGTGGAAATGACAATGAGTGATGGGGCATTTTTCCGGTTGGCTTCAGTGAGGGAATAGGGTACCGTTTGCCAGCATGCTACAGGGCTCAACCGATACCACTTTTGTAATGGCGTGGCTTTCCAAAAAGCATTCGTGAACATAATGTTGACGGTCAACACACCTATAGCGGTTTGCCGCACTGCTTGTTGGGCCACCGCGCTCCATCGCCAAAAGATTCGGCCATATGGGAGTCTAGGATGTCATTGCCTTCACCTGGCAACCCACACTTGAAAGGCCAACTTACTGTGAGGTCTTAGTGGCGTAACTTGAACAGGCGTGCGCAGTGTATGTTATTTTGTCTCCGGACAGCTGGGCTGCGCACACACGCGCAGTCGATGTCTCAAGATGCTACCGAGTATAGATTTGTCAGCTCAATTGCCGGAGCTGCGCCACACAAAACTTTGCAACCAAAATGGCTTGATGGCTTTCAAGCATTCCGAGGCTTCTTGCGGCTAGAAGACGGCACATCTTCTGTGCGCCTTTTCGGGGCTGGCGCCGCAACTTGCTTTGCCTTAGGCTTTGAGGCCGCCTTCGCGCCCGGATTCCCTGCAGCAGGCTTCGGCTTCGGCTTCGGCTTGGTGGCCGGCTTGTTCTTGCAAAGCATCCTGGGAAAGCTTGAGCTGACCCGTTCATTCTGCAAACAAGCTTGATAACAAAAGCATGCCCTGAAAACAAAGAACTTTTCGCTGAAGGTGAGGGCTTCTCAATAACCCGCAATCAAGCTTAGAACCAAGTCTCTGAAGAACCCTATGGACCATTGCCCTCAGCAGAATTGGATTCAGGGGTTCGCCCTTGAAAAGCTTTGGTCCTCTTGTTGCATCCCAACCCCGGTTTTTTCATGTGAGATCTTTGGCGCCCCTATAGTTCTATTTGAGCTAGGGGTTGCCCCATAATTGAAACATTTTGGAGGGTGGGGTTGCGCGCCTCAAAAGCTTTGAGTAGGGGACTGCATGAGAAGCCGTTGGTCCGCAGGCACCATCAGACTGCACATAAATCTGTGGCACCGGTTGATTTGCATTTGAATTGTTCCGGCACCCTTTTGGACCACAGGGAGGATCTGGTTCTGGTGGTTCTGGTTCGCAACCAAACTCAAGAAAGCATTGGGACCAACAAGGGAAAGATCATCACCCTTTGGCTCTTCTTTGTCATGAAACTGTTGGAAGAAAACCCCAAACAACTCGCTCAGATTCCCTTTCAGGCCCTCGGCAAAGCCCTCGCGGTTGGTCTTCTGAGGTCGAGGCTTGGAACGCGACTCCAAGCACGCCGCATCGATGGCCCTCAGTTGTCATGAGTGAGATCCAACTATAGCTCGTTTTAAGAGATTTGGGAGCCGGCATTTTCTTGGCTTCGTCGAAGTGGCTGCGCAAGGCTTTTTGCTTCCTGGTGACAGTTCGCTCATGGCAAGTAAGCCTACAGAACCAAACACTGCCCACACCAAATTGAGGTAGGGGTCATCTTGTCGAACCCATCCAGCAAGCCAGCCCGATAGAGCAACTGGATTTGCTCATCTTGCTGCGCCAGGTTACTGGTTGTCTTCTTCATGCTGTCAATCAGCCTGGGCCGCAGGTGGGCGAAGCATACGCGACACGAACCCTTATGACAAAAATACATTGGCCACAAGAAGCGATGATAAAAATCCCAGCTAGCCACTTAGACTGGACCTCATCCTTGGCCGGCAAG